ATTCTTACATTAGAATGTTTGCTTTATCTAAGTTTTGTTTGGGGGAAATGATGTTGATTTCAGCATCAATCAACCAGTTACATGACATTAGTACAAAAACTGCGTTTAAGTGAAACTTTTGTTTGCTCAAAGACTTGAGATTTAATAATTTTTTGTTATCAGGTATATTAACTAAAATGATTTTTTTTTAAAGTGCATGATAGCAAATAATACAGTGGATGCTTGTATAGTTGTGCTTGTTGACTTGTTTTGAACTAAGGCACCAGCATTTTAAAAAATTGTGGTAAAATATACATAACATAAAATTTACCATCTTAGTTATTTTTAAGTATATGGGTTAGTAATATTAAGTACATTTACATTATTATATAATTACAAGGGTGACTATATTGAATTTGTCTTTTTTCACTCTTACTTTGTAACTAGGACCCTAAAAGTGAAACTTTCCCTGTTTCACTCAATCCTAGATTTACTATAGTGTTGATGAAATAATAAGTAAGGTTCTGAAATTGAGTATAGATGGCTTGAATGAGAGCCAAGAAATAGTCCTGTGAATTAAACATGTGAACTTTTCTTCTGTGTATTTTGAGTGTTCAGAGCCTTGTTTACTTCTGTGTAAATACCTTTTGAATGGATGACATTGTCATTTGCGTTGTAGAAAGTTCTTGGCTAGCTTCCCAATTCAGCTAGACTGACAGCATTGCAAAGGAAAACACATGGCTCAGAAATTCCTAATTATGGATTTTGCTTACATAAGGAAGTACTATGAATTCTATAAGGGAAATATTTCAACATCTTAGCAAGTAATTTATTACAGACCTAATAATGTTAAAGGACTTACTAAGTAGTGGATATATACAGCAAGCATAGTTATTCTCAACTAGAAGTCATGTCATTGTCCTTTTAAAAACTCATTATGGCCAGGCATGGTGGCACATGCCTGTAATCCCAGCACTTGAGAGGCTGAGGCAGGAGATGGAAAGTTTGAGGCCAGCCTGGGCTCCATGGTGGGTTCAAGGCCAACCTGAACTGCATAGTGAGACCCTGTCTCAAAACAAAAACAAAAACCCTCAATATGGTTTCCAGTGTGCTTTGAAGTAAAAACAACAACAGAAATAACACAAAACAAAAAAAACTCTTACCCATGGTTCTTAGAGGTCTTGTTCCTGGGTTTCCCCCTTCGGTAGTTAGCTATAGCCACACTGAGCTTCAACTTCCTTCAAGAAACCAAGGTTTTACCTGACTCATTGTTTGCTTTATGCTGTCAATTCTATGTCAGAACCATGACCTTTCTTACCCATGGCCCTTTGTTTGCTTGTTGGTTTGTATTTGTCTTTGAGGTTTTAGTTTATGTATTTATCAAAAAAAAAAAAAAAAATTCCTGAACTCTGTGTAAAATAAGTTCCTTACTTAGTCCTTTTTAAAAACGCATCAACAATCTTTCATTACCAAATTGCATAGAGTTAAATTTTTAACCTGGCTGACAATGAAAACAACATCTGCATCACATCCAGGATAGAGATTTGAGCCCAGTAAAGACTTTTTTTAAAAAAAGATTGAGCGTGGTGTCGTGACATGTATCTGTAAATTTAGCACTTGGGAGGCTGAGGCAGGAGAATCACAAGTTTGAGGCTAGCCTAGGCTACTGAGTGAGTTCAAGGCCAGTTTGAACTACATAGCAAGACACTGTCTCAAAAA